AAAAAGCAACCCAGAAGAAGAAAATGGTAAATTCAATATTGTTCCCAAAAGAAACTTCTTGGATCTCACCAGGTCATCACCAGAACTGAGCTCAACTCATGGAAATCTTTACATTTCTACTTTGCAATGTTAAGAAGTAGTGATGGGATTATGAGATGGGTGTACAGGAAGTTCCCCACAACCAAGGGGTTATTTCAGGATAGACCATCTAAGACAATTTACCAAATTCCTTTTGGGGCTTTCAAACCTGACCGGTTATGTGTGGTAGCAAGCTGTGACCTAAAATAAATGGTGTATTTTTTNCTGGAACGAACTACCCCCCGAGATCCGGACGATTCCGGACCTCCTACCTTTTCGCCGCGCCCTCAAGACATGGCTTTTTCAACAAGCGGGTCTGGCCTAGGGAGAATTTTTAAATAGGGACAATTTTAATTTAAATTTTAATTAATTATACAGCGAAAAAATATTTGGTTTTTAACAGGTTTTTATGGGGGGATGATGTTTTATGTGTTTTAATATGCTGTAAGCCGCCCTGAGTCCTATAGGGAGAAGGGCGGCATATAAATCCATGTTAAATAAATAAATAAATAAATAACTTTAAAGACAGAGTTACCAGTTACTTTCCTCTTTTATTTTAACATTAAGAAATAAATCTATGGAGATTCTCAACCATCCAGGTCATGATTGTCCCAAAGGTGCTTTTCCAAAAGACCAGTGGATTTTCTTGTTTTTTTTCTTTGAAAACATTTTGCTTCTCATCCAAGAAGCTTCTTCAGTTCTGACATTCTTCAGATCTGAACAGCTTCTTAGATAAGAAGCGAAATGTTTTCAAGGAAAAAAAACAAGAAAGTCCACTTGTCTTTTGGAAAAATACCTTTGGGATCGATTAAGAACCAGTTTAGGTTGGGATTAGTATATAGGAAAGGATATCAGACTTCATTGACCATTAGCCTCTGTTTTGGTCCCTTTCTTCATCTTCTATTTCCAAACAATGATCCATTAGACCGGGGTAGGCAACCTTGGCTCTTTTATGACTCGTGGACTTCAACTCCCAGAATTCCTGAGCCAGCCAGCCACGAGTCATAAAAGAGCCAAGGTTGCCTACCCTTGCATTAGACCACTTTAATGATTAATGTAATTTGTCGGTGAAGGAGTCCAGTCCAGTGGGAACAAGATACTTCTACTCGAGTTCCAATGTATGCTGGATCTTTTACATTGCAAAATAAAAAAGAGAAGGAAGACAACCTAGCTGCTAGCTAAGATACAGGATGGCCCAGCAGAAGGCCTGGGAACTGAGTTGTGGAGAGAACAAGCAGATTCAAGGGCTGTTGGCTAAAAGAGAAAATTAAATAAGGACAAAGGTGATTGGCAGCCAAGCCCAAAACATCCAGCTCTGAGGAAGAAGATCAGCTTTTCCTAAGCTTCCATTCTCCAGGTTAACATTATTCCCAGGATGAGGTGATGCTAAAGAGGAGGAGATGTGCAGATCCCTTAATATATAAAGATGAAATCTACTGCAATCTGCCAAGAAATCTGAATGTCCCTTTTTGTTCTTATGTTATTAAAATACAACCTCCCCGAGCAACAGGAGGGATTCTTTAACAAGTGCAACATGCAGAAGAATTAAATATATCTTTCATTCTAGGATCTGTCTTGCAAGGGTACCAAGAAGGTACACGTGGTTGAAATACAACCTAAATTGTCTTTAAAAAAAAGTTTTTATTGGTTCCCCCCCATACATTCAGTAATATTTGTTCAACAAGCATGCTGTCTGAGTTTACATTCGCTAATACATATTTAATTCCTGATCCTTTATTCTTTCCTCTAGCCATTGATAAAATAAGTCCCAAGTTTGGTAATACTCCATTTCTTCTTTTTCTTTCAGTCTCATAGTCAGTCTATCCATCTCTGCGCATTCTAGTATTTTTTTAAAATTATTTCTTCATATGATGGTATTCCTTCATTTTTCGAATATTGCACGAATATATGCCACTGTTGTAACATGCAAAATCAAATATAAGCTTTGTTTGTTAGTTTATATTCACTGAAAAAATTCCATTTTCTTTCTCCATTTCAATTATTTATATTTAGGTCTTGTCGATCTTGTGGTCCTCTGTTCTCTGGTAGTTCCTTCACTCTCTTGATCAAGTTTCTCTTTCTGTTCTACTGTTTGTATAGTTGCTTCTTCAGTTGCTTCTTCTGTTTGTTTCTGATCTTTTCTCTCCTCTTGTCGATATTGCATTCCTTCATCTAAGAATGCTCGATTTCTTTCATCAAAGTCTTCTGCTTTCCAAACTGAGTCCATCTGGTATCTTGTATTATTCCAGTTGATTAAGATCACTTCTGGCATTAACCATCTGAAATTTATGCCTTTTGCAATTAGCTTTGTAGTTAGGAAGTGATATTGTCTTTAGGTATCTCTTACTCTCTTGGGGATCTGCTTTAACACCACGATTTCTTTATTCTTGTATTGTAATGGCTCATTTCTGACTTTTCTCAGTATTTCATCTCTTGTTGTTTTCTTTATAAATCTTACATGAACTTCTCTGCATAGTTTATATTTCCTTGCGTAGCTTGAATTCATTCAAAATATTTCATCTATCTCCATTTACATCTTTGCTCGGTCTGCTTTCAAAGCCTCCTCCAGAAGATCAATAATCACAACTGCTATATTTTCTTCTCTGTCTTCAGGAATGTTTTGAAATCTTAAATAGTGTTCCGCTTTCTCCATTTCTAAGATCACCACCGTTTCTTCTAGATTTTGATTTGCTTGTTCTAATTTTTCATTTTCTTGTATTAGTATTTCCATTTTTTATCAATATCATCTGATTTATTTTCTATTTTCTGAATTCTTTGTTCATTTTTAACAATCATTTGTTGGTGGACTTCAAATTGTGTCTTTATATCCGACATTTGTTCGTTTAATTTATCAAAATTGCTTTTTGTCTCTTCATGGGTTTTTTTGTATTGATTCTTGAATTAATTTTAATGTAGTTTGCATCTCGTTTTGAGCAGTGCTTATTTTTTCATGCTGCAACATTGTTTCAATAGATCCCTGGCTTGTTGGGCTGGATGTTCCAACAGAGGGTGCAGAGGAAGTCTTTTTCATAAGTCTGGTGAGATTTGATGCACTCATTTTTCAAGCCAACTATCTTAGGCTAAAATCCAAACCGTAAAAAGAGCCAACTATTTTAGGCTAAATCCAAATTCTCAGGGAGGGAAAACAAGGTAAAAAAAACAAGAAGAAAAAAGAAAAAAAAGGCAACTATCTTAGGCTAAAATCCAACCAAAAAAATCAAGCCAACTACTTTAGGACAGATCCAATCCTCCAGTCAAATCATAGATGTGAAATGCCCGCTGTCTCCAAATAACTCCTGTTTTGGTTATATCCAGAGTCAACAGACATAATTGTAGAAAGTCTTTTCTCTTACAAACTCACATAAAGGCACTTTGTTTACACCAGGTGTTGTTTCAAGGTCAAACACTTTTCAAATTCTTTTATTTGGTATTACTGTAATATCTCCTTTTGCCATTAGATGTCCTCATACACTGTTTTGTCAATATCTGGTTTTAAAAGATTGTTACAAAGCTTTTAAAGTTCTTTGTAAGTTATTTACCTAGAGATTAAATCTAAAAAAGAAAAAAAAAATCCACGTCCTATAAGTTAAGCAGTCTTTCTTTGAATCAATCTGAGTTCGATTTTTAAGCATTCTTTTGTCTTCCTTAAAATCCTTTCCCCTCCTGTAATTGCTCACCGCTTTTAACTCTCTTCTCCCCTAGTCCTTTGGGGATCTTTACTTCATAGCTTCTTCCCAATCAGGGGATCAACTTTTCTAAGTCGATAAGGAATAAAAGAACAGGCTCACCCAGTTTCAGCACGCTGTTAACAATCATCTGTTTAGCGGAGTGCCGCGGCTCCTCACTTTTCTTCTGGCTGGCGATGACTTGGGCTGTCTGGGCTTACCAGGCAGCCTTTCTTCCGTCCTTTTGGAGGGTTTTTCAGTCCGTCTGGACCGATCACCATCTGGTCCAGACTCCCAAAGCATCCTTCCTTCTTCATTGCCCCTCCAGGGCAACATTCCGACCCCTTGGGGTCGCTGGGCCGAATGAAATCGGGCTAAGAAGCCAGAGCCCCGGCTTCTTCCACCCATCTCGTCAAACGCCAAACCGGAAGTCCCAACCTAAACTGTCTTGAGCCACAGACAAAACTTCGCAGCTGCAAATTCTTTATTTTGTCTGCTAGAAAATGTTTTGGTTTGAAACCTTCTTTTCCTTCATACCTATGAGGAGACTTTATCCCAGATTTGTCCCTCTGACAATCATGGGAATCCCAGCTGTTTCCATAGCCAAGAATCCCCTTGGTTTTGGTTTCTGAAATGTTCCACGTTCTCTTCTGCCTAGCTGCATCTGTTCCTGATTTCTGCACTGTCCTGGATATTGAATGAATTATTTCTTCCAGTTTTGTCTTTTGTGTCATTTGAAAGGGACCAGAAACGGAGTGTATCTGAACACCCTGTCCTCTGCGCCTGTGAAACAGGGTAGAGCGGGTAAAAATTGAATGCATATTCCTTCAATAACTAATCCCCTCAGTTCCCCACACATACTGTACATATTTTATTTCTCTGATATTTCTTATTTGTCCCAATCATGTTTTCTGTAGGAATTTTTAATTCATTGTGCAAGGAGAGAAGCATAGCAGCACATAATACTAAGCCATCTCTCTCTCCTCTGTCTCCTCTCTCTCTCTCTCTCCCTTCCTTCCTTCCTTCCTTCCTTCCTTCCTTCCTTCCTTCCTTCCTTCCTTCCTTCCTTCCTTCCTTCCTTCCTTCCTTCCTTTCCTCTCTCCCTTCCTCCCTTCATTCCTTCCTTCAGAATGAAGTAATTACTGAAACAAAGGAAGTGGAGAAGTCATTTGCCATAGGAAGGGGAAACAAGGGAACTGGTAAAGCTGCCAGCTGCCCCAACGATAAGCACAAACTTTTCAATCTGCAAGAAGACAAGGCAAAGGGAGGAAAAATGGATGGGAAGGATCTTTTCAAAGCTGAGTTTGTTCTCATCACCGACTCAGATGAAGATACAAAGGCTATTTTGGGCAACGGCTACGGACATGAAAGTTCCGAGGGCTTAGCTGTGTTCCATGTGTCCAGTGGTGATGAGTGCAAAGGACAGGGGAATGTGCCACAGATGCAACAACACACTGACCTTTCCTGCAGTTCAGCCAGTCCACACAAACCCTCTCAGGTAATGCCCAGGGTCATTGTTGAGATGGGAGGTTATGCAAATTGAATACATAATATTTTTCCATTTCCGTACTTCAGGAAAGGAAGCATTCTGACCCATGAGTAGCTCACGCAGACTCACATATACACATAAACATGGGGGGGGGGAGGGAGAGGGAGAGGGAGGGCCTTTTCGGTTCGCTTCTTAGAGTTGTTTTCATTGTAAATGCTTTCTTATTTTTGCAAAGTTATGATACAATTGTGCAACAGCTGTGGGAAACAGATAATTTCTTTTATGCTAATAAAAATGGACGTGAATAGTTTAAAATTAAATACCAGACCTTTAACATCTCACCCTGCTTTTTAATACTGCAAATTAAGACAGCCAGTCTCCTGGTTAAAGAGCTCAGCAGATATTACAGATTTGATTCTAATCTTTCTCCTTTTTCTTTTCCCCCTCCAGTTAACTTCTCCTCTGTCTGCTTCTGATCACCTTTCCCATAAATCACCTGCTGCTCCCTTACTTTCTCCAACTAATCTGAAAGTAGAACACGGACTGGCCGTTCCAGGCCACCAGGCTTCTTCTCACCAAGAATCTCATAGCCAGTGGCGGTCTGCAAATGGATCCTGCATCCACCAGACATCCACCTATTTCCAGTCTGCTACGTCTTCCAGTTTGCCTTCCTCCATACCGAAAATACTCCCTTCCTCATTTGAAAGCCTCGCAGATCATGCTCAATTATCCCACAATGTTCAGGTTCACAAACCCGAAAAGGAATCCACCTCTTTTCCACGGCCATTAAGCAAGGATTCCTGTCCTCCCTCACAGATTCTCACTTCAGCGGATGTTCCTCCGGGCTCGTCCCCTCAGGCCTATTCTCCTCTTCCTCCCAAGAAACTGGCCCCTTGGCCCCAGGTTCCCGTTCATATTACAACACACGTCTTATCACCAAGTCCCACCCAACTGCCACCTTCTCCACACGGATCCTCCTCAAATATATATGATGCAAACAGCTCCTGTAGCCAAATGCCCTTAAGTGGCAACCCGCCAGTGTCTAGAGTTAAATCTCCTCTTCCAACTAGACTTTCTCTTTTGACTGCTATTCTGAAGTCAGGGTCTTCTCCAAAAAGGCCATTTTCTCCCGCGTCTTGTCCTGCCACTTTTTCTCCCAGTTCTTTCGATTCTTCAACTCTGGCAATTGAGCAGAAATTTAAAACTACCCCTCCCACTCCCAAGAAAGCTGCTTCACAGTTTTCTATCTTCAGGTCAGATTCCCCATACCAAGATGAAGGTCACTCTTCAGGGCTTTCTAGCACGCCAAGGGACAGGATGGTCTCCTCAAAGTCCAGTCCTACCCTTCAAACTTGGTCTCCGTCCCCTGAAAGGACGCTTGATTCCGGGACATGTTCCCCTGACAAACTGCGTCCTTTGTCACCCACAATTTCATCCTACAAGAAAACAGTTGTCTCCCCTCTGTTAAAACCCAAACTGACCAGTTTTTCCTTACCTCCCCATGTTTTGAGGCAAAGGGTCCTCAAAACACGAGAGCCTGAGAAGTCTACAAAAGTACGCACCTGCTCTCCCACTTTCACTGCCAAGTCCCATCCAACCCCAACCCTTGCAGTCAACCAAAGGGCCACAGTTTCTCCCACAGCACAAAAACTGTCTTACTCTGCAGCTCCTGTGCATTCTAGTAATCAGCCTAAAGAACATTTGCTACGTGTCTCTGCGAAGGACCGAGGTACGAATTTGTCAACTCATTGGCCTTCTTATCACCAAGATTCACCGTCATCTGCTCCTCCAAGCTGTAACATCAACTCCCCTTTGCTTCAGACAAACGCATCCCCTCTTCATTCAAACTTCAGAACTTGCCTGCCCTGCTCAAGACACAAGTCCCCAGTGATCACGCCACCCAGATCCCTGGCCAGAAAGCATTCTCCTTGCCCACAGTTGTCAAGATCAAGGGAGACTAGCTCACCGCTGTCCTTTTCCTTGCCTTCTGATTGTGAGAATAAGACTCCTCAGGTATTCTATCTAGTGGCTTCTTTCTATTCCTCTAATCCTTTTCCCATTTCTGTTCCAGAAAAATGGCACCCAAAGAAAAGAAAATTGTAAATGTAGACATCATTGCATTTGTAATGTTTTCGCATCTGAGAAAACAGTGGAAATGTGATAGTGAAACATTTCTCAAGCACGGATATAAACATATAACCAAAATGATTTCATCATATTTTTAGTGTGTGTGTATGTGGGGGGGGGGGAGAAATCATCTATGCTAAAAAGATTTATGGTAATCTGGATATGTATGTATCTCTGTATTTGTAAACCTTAAATTCCACATCTGATTTTCCAGATTTCCAAATTAACTCTTTTTACATGTTTGCAGCCAGAGATATTATCTTTTAGCATGCTTGTAAAGTTTCAGAATAATTAAATTTTATAAACAGGCGAGTTACAGGTAGTCCTCGACTTACAACAGTTCATTTAGTGACTGTTCAAAGTTATAGTGGCACCGGAAAAAGTGACTTAGGACCATTTTTCACACTTGTGACTGTTGCAGAATCCCTGTGGTCACATGCTTTAGATTCAGATGTAAATGTGAAATGTAAATTGACAGCTGACTCACATTTATGATGGTTGCAGTGTCCCAGGATCACGTGATCACCTTTTACAACCTTCTGACAAATAAGTCAGTGGGGAAGCCAGATTCACTTAATAACCGTGTCACTAATTTAAGAACTGCAGTGATTCACTTAGCAAATGTAGTGAGAAAAGTTGTAAAATGGGGCAAAACTCACTTGACAAATTTCTCACTTAACAAAATAAATTTTGGGCTCAGTTGTGGTCGTAAGTTGAGGACTACCTGTATATAGAGAGTATTTCTCTTTCTTTCTCTGTTAATATTTTATTCATGAGACTCTGACAAGTCAGTCTGTGTTCATCAGTTAAAGAAAGAGCTAAGGGGGTTGTACTGGTTTAATTCATGTAAATATGCTGCACCCTCATGTTCTGGAAATGGTCTTTTGATTGTTGCCTCATGTAGCACTGAGGTTCAAGTTTGCGGTAAAGGGGGGGGCTGGTTGGAAGATCCTCTTAATCAAAAACAATGATTGCTGCTGGTAGGAATTAACTTTGATTTGTGGAAATGCTTAAAATTAACTTCAGTTAACTTCAGAAAAGGCTTAAAATTAACTTCAATCTGTTACTGATTATAAATATTTACATATAAAATCAGATCTTCATATAAATCATAGCATATGCTAGTTTGTAATAAATCACTGCTAATAATTGCATCCTATTCGTGCATTCATCCCTATCTTTAAAGGGTTGTTTTACCTTATTTTTGATCCAAATTTGCAGATACAAATGTCTCTTTCATCCACACAAACAACCCATCTCCCCTTTTTGGATAGCTCTCTCAAAAGCCACTTCAGAAATCCCTTTACTGCAATGAAGTGATTTGGCATTGACTGCTATTCCATTCCAGTATCTATTCTGCAGGTGGTTAAAGCTTCCGTTGATAAGGATGCTCAACAACATTTTTAAAGTTTTAAAGCTTATCCTGAAGGCTAAAAGAGAGGGGTCTGTGGCAAGATGTTCCATAGTTTGGGTAATGTGCCAGAAAAGGCTCTTCTACTCGATCCCACCAGCCGAAATTCCTTGGCTGATGGGATCCACAGTAGGATCTAATCTTCTCCAGCTCCATACTTAGCTCATTGTCATCGCAACAGTGAAATGTCATGGTTTGGGAGAGTGGTAATAATAATACTGCCTCTTGCTGTGCATTGAACTCTTGTCTGTAAGTAATACTGCAGTACTTCTGTGACAGTAGACATAATACTGTAAATGTGGTGTGTCAATGGTATGGTTCTACTAATATACTGTACATGTAGAAGAAGAAGAAAGAAAGGGGTCCCTGCAGATTTTACTCCGCTAGTTATAAACAACTATAGGGGGCAGTGCTTATCTCCATTTCAAGGGCCATTAAGCCAGCACTGTCTGAAGAGGTTTCCATGGTGACGTGGCCACCATGACATTACAGAGAGCTGTTTCCTCTCCACTGAAGCGGTACCTGTTTATCTACTTGCATTTGTATGCTTTCAAATGGCTAGGTGGGCAGGAGCTAGGCAAAGATGGAAGCTCTCCCATCATATTTGCAGCTTATACATGCAGAATTCCTAATTAAATCCCAGCTTTCCAACTTTATTGAAAGGGGCCCTGCAGAGTCAAAATTCTTATTCAGGGGTTAGGATGAAATGTAAGCTGGGAAGAATAATGTAAAGCAAATGCAGTTTAGTGCTGATTTTAATGCTGACAAATGACTGTACAAGGGAGATCCGTGAGCTGCCAAATCCACTTTGTCTGGTAAGACTTACTAACATTTGGTTCTGATAACTAAACTTCTTGTCATGCTGGGGAGACAAAATGGGGGATAGCAAGGAAAGCGAGAACGAGAATAATGATGATTGACGAGAAATTAAATTTGCATTTCAGTGCTTTACAATATGCCAGAAACAATTGAAAAGGAAGGGAGGCCCTAACTAAGGAAAGCGGGGACCACAGGAAAACATGTATGTAATTTGTTACAATAGCTTTGCAGAACACCATATTAGTTGTTAAGAAGAGCATAGAAGCTTATTAAAGGGTGGCCAAAAAATTCCCGCTTTTTCTGAGGGCTGAATTAAGAGTGAAATTATTCCAGGCAGTTTCTGAAATATTTTGATTGATTAATATTTTGTATTGTCTAATAAATGGAATAGTGGAAGAGCTAACAACAAGGCAAAAAGTTGTTCCTTCACTGAATATCCTTTCCTTCTCAGTTTGGATATTGTACTGTTACTTGGGTAACAAGTTTGAGATTCACACGAAGATAGTTTAAGGAAAATTACTCCATAAAGGTGATCATCCATCTCTTTTCAAAGAGGTCTCAGTGAGCTTGTAACTGAATATGTCACCTCTATGGACAGAAAGAAAAATGTCTCTGTGTTGACTAAAATATATGAATACATATCCAACCTCTGGAATAAATTATGATGGGAACCCTGTGATATAAATTATGGCATTAAGATGGACATGCAATACTTTAAAAAGGCAGAAGATCATTTTAATGTGTAACTTTTTTTCTCCTTTATACTAAGACAGCATTCATGTTGAAGTCTTAAAGGAATTAATTTTAATACTACCACAACTTTCCTGTTTCTGATTATGATTTACAGTCATACAAGATCAATGCAAGCTACAAGACACTTGCAGCCATCCCAACAAACACACTGCTTCTAGAACAGAAGGTTAGTTGGGCGCTCAAAGGTATGTGCTGGTATTAATATTAATTTTAAAATTAAGGCCAGAAGGAGATAACTGTGGTAAAACTGTTTGCTGGTCTTTGAAGCAGCAGAAAAGCATTTTCTGCCCAGATTGCTGAGTCCTATTCAGCCACAACACTGATGGTTACTTCTCTCCTTCCTCTTTTAATGTGAGACAAGTTAAAGAAAGCAATTGGTGTCTATGGAGATTGTCAATCATCCAGGTCATGGTTGTCCCAAAGATGCTTTTTCCAAGGGCAACTGGCCTTTCTTGAGAGGAGTGGAGGGATTCGGGTGACTCTGAGGATACAGATAAACCCCCAAGTGGCCTCGACTACTCTCAGAGAACTAATGGCTTACTAAGGACCAGATAACTGCAAAGAATATAAATCGTTCCATTCCCCACCAGTCAACTAGAACTGAAGAAGCTTCTTAGGTGAGAAGCAAAACATTTTCAATGAAAAAAAAACAAGGAAATCCAATTGTCTTTCGGGAAAAAGCATCTTTGGAAAGCAATTGGTGGTTTGCCCTGCCTTAGTTTCTCTTCCACCAATCATCACCTACCAGTGTGAAAGCAACCACTGATCACTCTCCCTAACATGGGAAGGGAAGGAGAATAGGCAGATGCTTCAAACAATACGATGAGCCACCAGCCAAGTTGCCTATGGCTTCTTAGTCTAGCTATTTCTGCAAGAGGGCTGAACCTGTACCTAAAAATAGCCTGTCTGGCAGATCACAGGGACGGAAGAGGGGTAAAGTGAGAAGCAGAAGGTGCCATTGATGACAAACAACTGGAAACACATGGGCAAAATGACCGACACATCCCTCTCCCACAATAAAAGGAATAAAAGAAATCCTGCAACCAAACGTGACAAACATCAACAACGTGAGCTGGTAGAATTCCTCTGTCTTTCTCAGTTTGAAGGAACCTTACAGGCAGCAGAAGGCTTTCTAAAAGGCATTAAAACTTTATTCTACAGGTCTAGTACTTTTCAAACACTGCTAAGCCCATGTTTATATGGCACCTTGCAAAAGATTGACCCAGCACCTTGGAAAACACTGATCAGTCACTACGCAGGGATGCAATAAATAAATAATAACAATTAATCCCTCCACAGAAGCCAGGTCTGGGATTTTCCCTGTGGCCCAACCCAAAGGAATCATGGAGGCTGTTCCCAACTTGAAGGGGCATATCTGCAACAGCCATAAGCGGTCATTAGAATCTCGGATAAATTCATCCCTGATCACACTGATAAAACATGCTAGATCATATCCATGGCAATTAGAAAGGAAAAACTAGAAGGGTTAAATACAATTTATGCCTCTATTAAATGCCTCTGCTTTAGTTGTGACCTCGGGAATGAGACCGAGGCAGAGACTACAACAGAAGAAATGGTTATTGGCACATATTTGTGTTGAAGTAGTGATGATGAGCTTTCACAGTGAGCTGAAGTTTAGTATAGAAAGCCTTTTTCAAACGTCAGATTGTAGGCTGATCGATACCGTAGCAAATCAAGCCTTCAAATGGGCAAAGCAGCAAGCAAAATGCAGCTCAACAATCACATATAAATAAAGCTCTTATTTTGGTTGTAGCTATAAAATCAGATGGATATTTAGCAGCCAAGAAACCATAATACTGCACTAACAAGGCTGATCTAGCAAGTCACCCATTATGAAAAACGTACTGCTGTTTTAGGCAGTGCTAGAGGACACCATAGTTTGACTTAGCGTGTGGCATCCCCATTGTGTTTGCCTAAAATGTAGTTCATTGATCTTGTATTATGCATGGAACCAGCCACTGCAATTTGCAAAACATGATTTACAGCTTAATATATTAAGCATAAACCATAGTTCAACAAGCTTAATATAAAGTGTGAATTCATTAATTCATTAATTAACTTATTTTCATTGTGAGTTACACAATGACAATAAAGGTAGTCTATTCTACTATGTGACAAATAGTGTCCAAAGGAATCAGGAATTTGGTTGCCAGAATGGCATTTGTTGAGTATTCCTTAGACAAAAGCAATATTAGGCGATTCCAAGGTTCTCAAATGTTGTGGTTACAGAATCATAAGTTGCTGTAGGTTTTAGAAAATGGTGCAACTTAATGACCATGGACGGTCCAGGTGCACTGCTTGAGGAACAGGTGGTAGCCATGGCCAGGAGACCCTTGGCACATGTTGTGCACCAGTTGGGCCTGTTTCTAGATCAGGAGGCACTTCATGGTTACCTAGTTCTTAGACATCTCTTCTTTGAAAAATTACAAGGTGTTTTACATGGGCCTGTCCTTGAAGAGCACTTGGAAACTTCAGATGGTCTAGACCAGGGGACTTCAAACCTGGCCCTTTTATGACTTGTGGACTTCAACTCCCAGAATTCCTCAGCCAGCATGCCCACAAGTCATAAAAGGGCCAAGTATGAAGACCCCTGGTCTAGAACGTGTCATCACTTGTACATTGCATCATAACTTTTTTTAACACCCATGGAACTCCCTTGGCTCCCATAGATATATGTGTGTGTTCATAAATCAGATGCTTAACCAACAAAATGAGTTGGACATGAGCTTATTTTAATTATTTAGTTTTATGCTGTTGTTTATGCATATATGTTTATAATGCTTGGATAGTCGACTAGGATATGATATAAATTACTTTAGCAGAGATTATATAAGTGCATTGTTATTGTTATTCTTGTCTTATCTTGTCTTAATCTCAGAATAATATGAATTAATCCATAGGCACTCGATGAACAAATCAAAACAGAGCTAGATGCTGAGGACAGAACTTTGGATACACATTCAGAGGTGACAATTAATTTCTCTGTGTTTAATTCCTTCTTATTTGATTCATTTCATTTTGGTCATATTGCTTTATCATCTAATTTCCATAATCAGAATTGAATAGGGAAATAATTGCTTCAGGCTGCACCCTGCTATGGATGTCATGGAGGTGATAACACACTGGGCTGTGTAATGCTTTCGACCTGAAAGTGAAAAAGTGCTTCAGAGAATGGATTAGTATTTTCATAGCAACTTGTGCAATGAAAGCAAGTGTGCAGTCCTAAGAAAAGACGCCTCCACCCCTCAACCTTCCGCCAAATCCTATAGGACTCCTTTTGTTTCACGGTGAGCTCATATGAGCACTGAAGCACCATTTGGCCTTTGAAGTGAAAGCACTGCACAGCTGTAGAAACACACAATAAATAATCTGCTTGGGTAGGAGGAGGAAGAGGAGAGTCCAAAATCAGGTTTAATTGGTTGCATCTTTTCCAATGGATACATTTTATTAAAAGGCATAAGCTTTAGTGAGCTCCAGCTGTCTTCATTAACTGCATGGATTAGCTAAAATGATGTAGGGTTTAAATTGGGATGAACTGGAGTGGGGAGGGGAAGACAAGATGCTTATGCAGATGCTGGCTGCATATGTGACCGATTGCAAGTACCTGATCAATAAGCAATTGTAATGTGTTAAAACCCATTGTGGTTGTTGGGACCTTCTGAGATGGTCTAAAATCTCTTTGTTGTACATCAGTTCAGTAACATCTTGCTCAAGTGTGCTGCTAAAATGGATTTGATTCAAAGCAGCTATTTGAAATCTGGAATGGAGTCATGATCTCAATGATATGGGGTTCATTGGGGAGCAATGGACTGTGCAAACTACCAAATACTTAATAGGATGAAATGCAGAAAGCACACCAACAAGGAATCTCCTGGCTTTTGTTTTTCTTGATGGAAAACTCATATGGAAAGTTGGAGAAAACAACAACAACAACAACAAAAGCATTTAGCTGGGGAAAAAGTTGCAGTAAGAAACTAAGTCTGCAGCTTTCGAAGTGCTACACGGCACCACCCAGTCTTTAAGTTTGAGAAAGGGGACCATCCAGACAAGAATGCCAAGGAGATTTCCAAAGTACCAGGAGCAAAAACTCTGATGGCCACTAAGCAAAAAGCAACAGAGAGACCAAAATTCTATGTGCCACCTGGTGGTCATCCAACGTTGTGCAACGCAGATCTAATAGCTGCACAAAGTGGAGCTCATCTCAGTACAGGTAGTGCTTGACTTACAACCATTTGTTGAACGACGATTTAAAGTTATAACAACACTGAAGAAAGGGACTCAGGACCATTTTTTTCCACTCTTACGAACGTTGCAGCATCCCCATGGCCATGTGATCAGAATTAGGATGCTTGGCAATCGGCTCCTATTTACAACGGTTGCGGTGTCCCGGGATCACCTTTTGTGACCTTCTCACAAGGAAAGTCCGAATGGGGGAGTTGGACTCATTTCACAACCGTGTTACTAACTTAACAAAGGCAGCGATTCACTTAACAACTGTGGCATGAAAGGTCGTAAAATGGGGCAAAACACACTTAACAACTACCTTGCTTAGCAATGGAAATCTGGGGTTCAGTTATGGTCGTACGTCAAGGACTCCCTGTAGCTGCTGCAGCAGGTCCCATGAGGCGGAGGCGGTGCTAATAGATGTTTAATCTCTGGAGTTGAGAATCGGAGAAAATTATTTTCTCTTTCTGACAAATCCCACAGATGTGCTCGCCTGCCCAACTCAGGCAACAAACGGAAGAACTTTGCGCTGCTATTGATGAAGCCTTGCAAGAGCCTTTGGCCAGGGTAGGCTAACCTCTAAAGCCACTTGCTTGCTTGGGTGCTTCCTTTCACGCTCTTTAATTGAGCACCTTTTCTTCTCAATCCATTCCTACAGCGCCGGTGTAATTCCTCTCCAAGTTCCCTGAAGAACATACTCGATTCAAGTACAGGCAAAGTAAGTGAATAAGAATGCTAATGAAAATCTACACCCCCCCCCCCCGCAAATGTCTCCATAGTATTTTTTTGTTGCTGTTGTTGAAACAGGGCTGTGAACGTGACTGTTCAAATTAAGTAGTAAAAAGGGAGATGTACATCCTAGTTTCCCAACATTCCCCCTGCTGTTGTTTTGATGCTGCGTACATCCGCATACAACTTGCCCATATGAAGTCTATCTCCCCTACAGATACAGATACAAAATACAGTGGTAACTTACATTCCAGGCAGTCAGGCAATAACATGAGTTGTGGGTTATCTAGTCAGAGCATCATCACCATGCTGCATGTATGTGTGTCTATTTTGTATGTGTGGCTTCTGGATACTTGGTTTAACCCTGCTGCATCAGGAATGAAGGCCTAAGAACTTCATGATGGTGGCGCTGTTGTCCCAAAATGGGTCCTAGCCTGGCGCCAAAGCCAATATAGACCATCAGACACAAGGAATAGCTTTCCCAGTTTCTTTTATTGGAGTACTCCAGTAAAAGGGTCTCAGCCTCAAAGGAGCCAAGACCTCGAACAATGCACAAGCACAATTTTTACACAGTTATGATTAAGGAAGTTAATACCCTAAGAATCACACATGTTTCTTTTGATTGGATTCTTCTACTTTGCCCTCCTTCTTCATACATGTTTATGTTAATAAGTTTTCTTATCAAAAGAGGTGGGTCTTTTACTATTATAATAGGTTAGAGTAGGCATGTCAAACTCACGACGTCACGTGACATCGCGCGACGTATCAGAGCTTTTTCGCCATTGCCAGCAATGGGGTGGGCGCAGCTCCGGTATGATGAAACCGGCCCGTGGGCGGGCAGTTTGACCCCTGGGTTAGAGGTTACCAAAGTTTATATATCTATATGCCTTAGCTAGCATCCTTCTAGCAACTTTCTTGTTGCTAGGCAGTAGTGTCCCACCATTTGTTACACTCATCGCAGCTGCAACTTTCTGTGTCAGCAATTTTTTAACAAACTTTCCTAGTTCCAACCTGAGTCCTTCAGTGCCATCCCAGCGAGGTTGAGAAAAGGTGGGCAGTCATAGAATAGATAGTGGATAAATCCCATTGAAACTCAAATATTGCAAAGACTAAAGAAAACCACACAGAGTTTCCTCCAGTGTGAACCTTACTCAGTGGTTACGCCAGTTCCCTAATCTTTCATTTTGCTCACTCTAATAACATAGAACAGTATTTTATTTTTAAAAAAAAATAATATAATTTTCACTGAAGAATTTTTTTAAAAGATAAAAACAATACAAAATTAGAAAAGCAGAAAACAAGGAAGAACGGCGAGTAATAAAACAGAAAGAGAAAAAAGATGATAAGGAAGCATCTTCTGATCTTTTTGACAAGAGGTCTAAATCAATTTATATTTAACGCTAAGGTTACATGCACTGCAGACAGTTTGAAAGAAATTGAATCATTTACATGAAAATAGTAGATGATGGTCTATGTCTCAAGTCGAAGGATGTAACTGGCCCTATAGAATCTTTCTTCATCACCAAAAGCATCTGGATTTGAAGTGATTTGCACGGGAAATTCTGCATGAGATCCTCCTCTTGACCCATGATTTGTAGTGAAGGATTCTGTAGGGAATCTTAATTCTCCTTGATTTATATTGAGGCATCTCCTCTTTTTGCTTGGTGGAGCAATCTCACCTAGAGAACATGGTGATGATCCAGATGCAGAGGTTTGGCTATTTGGGTGCAGAGGTATGTCCCTGACATGCAAGGGTAGAATCTCCTTTAATGAATTGGTGGTCATTATCCAATTGGTTATGATAATAGTTGGTAAACTCAATTTGCTATCATCAACGTCCTATATTGAGTTCATTAGCTCCTCCTGAGAAGGCATAGTAAGTGGTGCATTGAGCCAAACTTCCTCCTTCAGCCTGATGGATCCCCCCCCAAGAATATTATGTGCATAATGTTATCAGAAACCTTCCTGGATGTACCCTCCCGTTACACCTTGGCAAGCTTCCCAGGAGTCAGGAGTGGCAGGCACAGATATTTTAAAATACTCCAGTTGGCATGATCCCAAAGCTCTGTAGAAAAAGCTTAAGAGCATTTGGGGTAATACGAGTTGTTGAAACAACAGCACAAGCCTCTTAAAGCCTTGGCAGTGTGGGAGCCTTGTTGTCTCCGTCAATTCTGTCAGTGTGGTTTTACACCGAAGTAACTAGGGCAAATTTCAGCATGGGCCTTTTCTTTGACTATTTATGTGGATCATAAATCAGGTAGTCCTTGACTATTTATGTGGATCATAAGTCAGGTAGTCCTTGACTTACAACAGCTCATTTACTGACCATCCAAAGTTACAACAGCCCTGAAAAAGGGTGACTTATGGCCATTTTTCACAGTTGCGACCTTTGCAGCATCCCATAGTGATGTAATCAAAATTCAGATGCTTGGCGACTGGTTCATATTTATGACGGTTGCAGTGCCCCTCCCGGGGTCATGTGATCCCATTTTGCAACCTTCCGACAAGCAAAGTCAATGGGGAAGCCAGATTCACTTAACAACCGTGTTGCTAACTTGACAACTGCAGGCAAGAAAGGTCGTAAAACGGGGCAAAACTCACTTAACAAATGTCTAACTTAGCAGCAAGAATTTGGGGCTCAGTTGTGGTCATAAGTCAAGGACTACTTGTATAATATGATTTTTTTTTCAGTTTCTAGTACTTATGTTTCAAATGATCCTTCAGTGCTAAGCTCTGAATTGTCCTGATCACAGTTTTGTATTTCACTGTGTATGTGTGTGTGTGTGTGTGTGTGTGTCTTCTCCCCTGTACAGGTAATCCTCGACCTATACTATAATTGAGCCCAAACTTTCTGCTATTAAGTGAGACATTTGTTGAGTGAATTTTGCCCCATTTTACAACCTTTCTTGCCTCAGTTGTTAAGTGAATCACTGCAGTTGATAAGTTAGTAACCCAAGCTGCTAAATGAAACGGGCTTCCCCATTGGCTTTGCTTGTCAGAAGGTCGGAAAAGGTGATCACATGACCCTGGAATATGGCAACTGTCATAAATACTGTAACATGCTGGTTACCAACCATCTGAATGTAATTCAGATGACCATGGGGATGCTTCAAGGGTCATAAGTGTGAAAAATGGTTATAAGTCATTTTGTTCAGTGCCGTTGTAACTTTGAACGGTTGCTAGACGAACTGTTGCAACTCAAGGACTACTTGCATTGGCATTCTCACCACCTTCCTTTACAAAGCCAGGGAATCCTCCTTCTACTAGCCTTTTTATTTCTTCTAGCTTTTTATCAGCCTCTGACAGCTGATCAATATGTAGATTGTGTGGGCCATAAGCAGGTGATTATTTTGCAACTAAGGACATTTCTGTGTTCAGCTCTAATAGGTTGGAATTCAGTTCATCAGCCTCAGATTCCATTCTGACTGCTTCTCTGGCTTTGTCTATTACAGTTAAATCCTTATCAGAGGATGAGACCTTGTCAGAATCACAGTCAAATAAGATATGGTACTTATCAATTGTTGATTTAAGAGGCAGGGTAGGCTTACATGCCTTTTTTGTTTTGTTTTGTTTTTTGTAACTCGGAAAGTCCTGTTTTTCTGAGGTTTATTTTCTTTCAGTTGTTCAGAGGTTTTTCTATAACGAGTTTTGGTGCAGCCCTTTTTAGCTAGTTGCCTTTGTCTCATTACTATTCTTACCTCCTCCGGATATGTTGGCGTTTTGGGTCCCTTGCATTCTTAGTAAAACTCATAAAACTTTAAAAACAATATAACAGCCAGATGAGGATAAGAGAAAAGGATAGGCTTGTTCAAGCACAGTGTATTCTTGCATGTCTCTGATTCAATGCACAGCTTCCTTGATAATGATAACGATAACGATAATGATAATGATAACAACAACAATGTTGGAAGGGACCTTGGAGGTCATCTAGTCCAACCCCCTGCTCAGGCAGGAAACCCTATACTATTTCAGACAAATGGCTGTCCAGTCTCTTCTTAAAAACTTCCAGTGTTGGAGCATTCACAGCTTCTGGAGGCAAGTTGTTCCACTGATTAATTGTTCTATCAGGAAGTTTCTCCTTACTTCTAGGTTGCTTCTCTCCTTGCTTAGTTTCCATCCGTTGCTTCTTGTCCTGCCTTCAGGTGCTTTGGAGAATAGCTTGACTCCCTCTTCTTTGTGGCATCCCCTGAGATATTGGAACACTGCTATCATGTCACCCCTCATCTTTCTCTTCATTAGACTAGACATAGCCAATTCCAGCAACCATTCCTTTGTTTTAGCCTCCAGTCTCCTAATCATCTTTGTTGCTCTTCTCTGTACTCTTTCTAGAGTCTCGACATCTTTTTTACTGTCTTTTTTACTGTCTTTTACTTACTGTCTTTGCTGTTGGGTGGGAATGGAAAACATATTCCAGCAGTGCCCAAATATAACAATTCAGCAAAAAAAGTTTTCTGCACAATGCCAAACTGCTCTAACATGATGTGGTTGGATTCCTTGCAGATGTCTACTGCTCCACAGAGGCCAGCTGGTCGGGAAACCAAATATGTAAGTATCTTCATAATATGGTCTTCACATCTGTTTTTAATAGCAGGACGCCACATTTGAGAGGACTTCTGAGCAAGTATAGAGAACTCTCTGCCTCCAATATTTGAATAATTAGTCTCCAAAACACTGTGGTTTAGGCCGAGACCTTTTAGAGCTGAGAATAGCATTGTTTTCTCTTTCTCTTTTCATTCTGAATCAAGCACTGATCAAAGCATCTTGTGATTTGGTTAGAAGCAAGGATGCTGCATTCAAATTGACATTGTGAGTTAGGATTGCAATATTTTTTGCATCTATTGGATTTGATGACAGAAATCCATCTCTGAGGAATGAAGAACGTGCACATTTTGGAAAGCATTTGTATTTTATTGATCTCTATCCCAGCAGCTGGCATCATAAATTTCCATGGAGGAGACATGTTCAAAGAAAGTTGGATTTTCTTCCACTTAATTTTAATAAAGATAAATAAAAGGATAGTAAGTGCAATTTCCCCTTGTATCAATAACAAACTGCTGAAAAACAAGGTGGAAAAAAATCAATATAAATAAATAAAGGTTTTTAATTTCTCTTTGATGTACTTTGTATTAGGCGTTAGTAAAGAATTTCATTAGGGTGTCCACAAAAACCTAGAACCAGAGCTGCAAAAATACCAGCAAAGACATACAGAAAACTCAATTTGCTGTCGTCCTAGAAGTTGTCATGGTTCCAATAGATGAGACCAGTAGAAATAAGAACTCTGAGGCATTTGCTTTCCTCAAAGAACAATTTTAATGGCTACATAATATCAGCACAAACAAAGGTGAAACCAAGACTGAAAGTCCCCCACCAAAAGGTTACAAAGTAAAAGTTGAACTCCCCACCCCTAAGTGTGTCATAAATCACAATCCCCAATTAACACCTTTGGCGGGCTCTCTAACGGTAGCTCCAGCCCGCCAAACACTTAAGCTGCTTGACCTTGGTTCCCACAAGAAAGTTATTGTTATGACTAAACTAGAAGAATGCATCTCCCCCCTCCCATTGCTGTGGCAACCGAAAAACGAAGAAAGATGGCTGCAATCCACAGTGTTTGAAGGTTTGACAGAAGCGTTGTCTGAAGTTTTGCATCACAGACCCAGTAATGCTCATTTTATATTAAAGCTTTGTATAGAAAGTTTACTTAGTAAGTGATTGATAGGTAGGAGCTAAGAGAAACTCTAGGAAGAAGCCATTTATGATAATGCCGTCTCCTGTAGTCATCAGGAGCCAATGTGAGTAACAAGAAAGTGAAGAGAAAAGAATGTAGAATGTCATAACGACTATAGTATTGATTAAATGTCATCAAATCAATATCAACTCTTACCAACTTTTTCCAGGATGACATAATGATGATAAACATTCTCAAATCCATCTTTAGTTCATACTTCTGCCCAATATGATTAATATTCATCTGTGTCCCTATGCTTATTTCCAAGAAATATACCGTAATTAATCAATGGTCTAGCAAGATAGTTTTATTGGAGAAAGATACAGAGCTATTGATTCCTTTGTCATCTAGCTAAGCACTCGAGTGCTTATGGTGAGGTGAGTTAAAACAGAAAATCATATCTCCTGTAGGTTTTTCTATTGAATGACCACTCTTTTGTGATTGTTCAAAATTATAACAGCACTTAACAAGGAGATTTATGACTGGTCCTCACAACCGTGACCATTGCAGCATCCATGTGGTTACATAATTGCAATTTGGGCAATCATGGTGTGCAATTGCAATGGTTGCAGTGTATCACAATCACAAGACTGCCATTTGCAAACTTTGCTGCTGGCTTCTGACAAGCAAAGTCAGGGAAGAATGCAAATGATGATCTTGCAACATTGTGCTTAATAACCATGCAGGATTCACTTAATGATGACAACTGGAACTGCTACAACTGTCATTGTGAGTTGGTGGGGTCATGTGATGTCACATTTTATGACCAGGTCACTTAGAAGTGGAGTTGCCAGTCCCAATTACCACTGTTAAGCGAAGACTATATTTCAAGATAGGATAATGTTCCATGATTAGGTAACATGAGAAAATTCAGCATACTCAGGTTATTAATTTTATAACAAGACTTCTTATTCATATCTTTACACCAAATGTGATTTGCACCACTCTTCAAGCAGTGGGCACTCTCAAAATAGAGGGACTTATGTTGTAAAATGAACCTCATAGTCATTTATAATTGATTTTTCTGATGGACAGCTCCAAAGAGCAACAATGAACAGCTGATTTGTTTTTTTTCTGTATTGCTTAGTCAATAAAAGAGAGAACAGAGAAATAACAAATTTTCGTCTGCTTATGTTATGCTGGTCCCCTATAATCAGTTATCGGCATAGAAGTGATTATTCTGTCACTCTGCTGAAATATTGTCACTATCATTGTGCAAGACATACACAATTGTAGATTATTTGATTATAAATATGGGGGACTTCCAGTTTTGCACGGTAGCGACTGGTCACGGGCTTGCGGATTCTCCGCACCCCCACGGCTAATTTCATCCTGCCTGGGGACCCTAAATGGGTCTAAGTCGCCCCAGAAAGGTGATGAAGAAAGAAGGGTGCTCCAGCGACTCTGGAACAGCAGCGGCCATTCTGTTTGACTTGGGGAAAGCCTTCTAACCCGACAGGAGAAAGGCTGGCCGTATTGCATCGACCAGCCCAAGCTACTAGCAACTGAAGTCCAAAAGCACTAACCAGCACAACTGTGAACAGCGTGCTTGAAACTGGGTGAAGAATTCGATCTTCTCTTTTCTATTTTACATTTAATTTCCTGGAAAAGATCCCCAAGAAGCAAAATACCTCCAAAAGGGAAGGAGGGGGATTTCCGCCTCACCCTTATACTAATGGAAGTGGCAAATTAATCTTTTTATGGAGGATCAAAATATATGGAAGTGAAATAAATATAAAACCTGAAACTTAAAACTTAAATCTGGATAAATCTAAAATTGTTTGAATGGTTAAGACTCCCATTCTAAAGATAATTGTTCATTTTGGAAATTGTAAAACAAATAGTCGCTGACACCTAGTGGCAGATGAAGACTATGACAGCTATGATACTTTAATATAAGACTTGGCAAAATCTGGGAAAAACTAATCTGTGTTTGTGACTTTCAAAGCTTTAACAACAAAGAACAACAAAGAAAAGACAATAAATCTGGGCTGTAGACAAAGAGAGAATTATATTTTTTTATTATAAATATGAACGTTTCTATCAAATAGGTCTCATCTCTGGTATGTCTACAATCTAAAGGCGTTGCAGTGAATACTTTAGATTATTAGTGGGCATACTTTTTCTTTTTAGCATATTTTCCTCTTTGCTTACATCTGAAGTGGTTCTACAATATGGTGATGATTTTTGTTTGTTTATATTAAAATAGGAAAGAAAGAACATCTGGCCCCTCAGTTCATTTTCTGCTTGAAAGTCATCCTGTTTGGAGTGTTTTTCTCAAGACAAAAAAAATGCTCAAACCAAGTCAAAACAAAATGAAAATACAAAGATGGGCACAGAAATGTATACTAATGAATCTTCTCTTCTTATGTAATATAAGTAATTCTCCCTGATATAAATGGAAGATTCTTTTTGTTGAGCTAATATTGTAAATATTTTGTTCCAGGCCAATCTCTATTTAACGGCTCCTGCAGTGACTGAGACACAAAAGGTACGTTTCTGGATGTCTCCTTTCCTCTTCAGAATATTAATTAGATCGACTGACCGTGAATCACATTCTCAGACTCCATGTGATTTGAATAAAAATTCCACATAAATACAAAACTGTGAGTGACACAGCAACAAAGATGTAGCATCAAAGCAGGCAGGAAGAATTATGATTTTGAAAAAGTTCTGGGGACTTATTTCCCTTAACATCATAACTGCCTTAAGAAAGAATGCTCCAAGTCAAGAGGAATTGAAATAATTTAGCTCTGCTAGAAACTATATGTCTGGCTATATGCGTAGGGTCATCCCTAATTAAGAAGAGACTGGACAGCCACTTGTCCAGAATGGTATAGGATCTTCTACTTGAGCAGGGGGGGTTGAACTAGAAGACCTCCAAGGTCCCTTCCAGCTCTGTTATTCTGTATTATCCTCAGTTATGTGAAGCTCTCAATTTTTAATGTGTGCTAAGGCTTCAAAATCTAAGGGACTGGTTTGGACAAAACTCAGCAGCACTTTTTCGTGCGGCTGCTGATAAAAACAGGATCGCCAACATGATCGCCAACGTCCGATAACGGATATGGCACAAGAAGAAGAAGCTAAGAATTGTACTAGTTTGGCTCCAATAGAGCACTGCACTCTTCAGACATTTTTGTGCTGAAATCCAATTCCAGTTCTCTCCCTCACACCCCAAAACTCACATATACACATACATGTTGTGGGAAGTCAGTCCCCCCTAGAGAAGGAAATATTAAAGAGGCAGAAAAGCATGCCCAGTTTTTTCTTAATATCCTCAAGTCTCCCTCTCCCAAGCAGAAACCAGCTCTGTAGAAATGCAGATGTAAATGATCCAGGAAAGTTGGAGGCCCCCAGCTAGAAGCTTAGGAAGACAAAGACACCTAAAATCTACATACCCCACCCAAACTCTAAGACAGGACATAATAGGATTAACCCACAGATGCCAAAGGGGCACACTCAGACTCAGGTCAAATTACATGTCACAGGAAATACAAAGCCTCAAACAGGAACAAGAAACAACCTCAAGAGCCCCAGAGGGTATAAAAACCCACTCCCTACATGTGCTCTCTCTTTTCTTCCAGAGCCATCTTTCTGTTCTGGCTCTCTTTTTCAATATACTGCAACCTTCTTTCTAAAGCAGTCACCATGTTGTTTATTCCCGGCTTGGATTGAACCATGATGAAGACTTTTCCTTCAACAATGTTCTGTACTGTATATCTTGAATAACTCTTTTGATGGAAAAGAAAGGGATGACTTGTGATACTCATTAACAATATTTAGCAGATCAATCCTAAGTATGGCAGTGCAGTGAACTTGGGGCATCACCATTTGCTATCTTGGGGTGGGCAACCTATGGCACTAGGGCCACATTGGATATTTTTAATACCGCAAGATCCAATCTGAATCAGTCACCGTGACCAAAGGCTTATTTTTCCAAGCTTTCGGGCTCATGTGGAGCCCATCATCAGAGAACTTCTCTGTCTCCAGAATATCTGATGATGGGCTCCAGCGTGCAACTAAAAGCTTGGAAGACTAAACCTCTGGTCACCATGATCGACTCAGATTGGATCCTGCAACATTATCCTGGGACATGTACACCTCCCTTCCTTCGCTTTTTCTCACTCTTGACCACCCCTGCCTCCCAATCATGATCGGTTATGATAGCTATGGTAAGAAAGAAACAAAAACTCTAGCAGAAGCCCTAACATTTCTATATTACAAACGAAACAAAACTCACATAGGTGTGATGAGGCTTCATTCTCATGGTAGAGTTTAATCTCCTTAAAAACTAAATTATGGCTTTTGGAAACAAAATCCATTTGTCCTCCACTTTATCATGCTGTCTATTTTTACTCTCCTCTGTTGCAAGACTGGATGATATTTTGAGGTATAGATAAGAGCACTCGTGGGGGTAGGGAGAGGTTCCAGGCACTTCTGTTGATATAAACAGTCACAAAAGAAGAAGAAACCTTTCAAAAAGACTGGAAGTCTTGTATGGATGTTTTGCTAAAAGAAGAAAAGACAGAACTGATTTATTTTTTTGAATTTGGGGATTAGAAAGAGCTAAAGAGGGAGAGGGAAAGAGCAAGATGGCAAATACTTGATAGAAAGAAGGACAGAGGTCAAAATTATGTTGTCTTTCTTTTTTCACTTCTTTTGTTTCCTACCTTTACTTTTTTTCATGTTTCATTTCATCTTTCATACTTTTATTATATTGTACAAGTCTAATTAGAGAGATAGAAGATCTCATGTTTCAGGAAATATTCTGTATTCTCTTATCTTTCCCATAAATTAATAGTTCTGACCTAGCCTCTTTTTGATGCCCAGGCCATCAGTGGTAGCCCCCTGCATGATGCATGGAAGCACAATTATAGCTATTACATATTTCATTTTACTTTATTTATTCATTAGATGTATATCCCGCCTTTCCTCCAGGAGCTGAAGGAGGCATACCTCCAACAACCCTGTGAGGTAGGTCTGGCTAAGAATAGCAATGAGCTAAAAGTAAGTCATGCAGTAGGTTTTCATGGTTGAGGGTGGACTTGAACTTGGCTCTCCCTAGTCAAAGCCCAGTCAGTTAACCATTATGCTATAGTGAAACTTCTCAGGGATAATGTGCTTTGTTTTAAGTACCAGCATAGAAGGATGATCCATCTGATTTACATAGGAAGAATGAATAGTTTGGGGATTCCCATGATCTGAACCAGTGATAAAAAATGCAAAAAGCAGAAGCAGTTCTGGCTAGTGTTTTCAGTTTTTGGCATGTGCTCTCAAAAATCTGGATTAGAACTTCTTGCTTGGTAGATCAAACTCTCTGTACTATATACTGTCTCTGTTAAAGTTGGCACAGATATATATTTTATACAGCCTTTTGTCTCTACTGTGTATTAGAAACATTCATCTATGCTTTGTCATTGGTTCAAACATTATACATTTGCCATTCCGGTGTATGACTTATTTAATATTTCTATATTGTGTTCTTTCTTCACTACTAGACAAAGCCTGGGGTAATCCGACCAACAACTGTAAAAGCAAAAATAATGATAAAAGAAGAAGAGCCTGTCCAGCCAAACCCCTTCAGGAAGTATTTGGAAGAAAGAAGTGATCTTCAGACTGAACAGGTAGAGTTTCCTCCTTCCTTTCCTAATTCTGCATTCCTCCTCAGGGTTTTCTTTCTACATGGGCCTTCACAGAGGAGTTGGTCTAGGGCAGGGGTAGGCAACCTTGGCTCTTTTATGACTCGTGGACTTCAACTCCCAGAATTCCTGAGCCAGCCTGGCTCAGGAATTCTGGGAGTTGAAGTCCACGAGTCATAAAAGAGCCAAGGTTGCCTACCCCTGCCCTAGAGCTTCTCTTGGTGGGCATTTAATAGAGGTGCAAATAACATAATTGCATAGGTGTTATTTTATCTTCATGTTTTGTTCTTCTTGGATTCTTTGCAGAGTTCACTTGTTTTGCACTGCACCTGCCTAGTTCTCACAGCAACACTATCAGTGCACGATGTAATGAAGGGTTTTGTTTATCAGCTGGCTTATTTTAGAGCCCTGTCCTGATTTGGGGCGTGAGGGAGTGTTTGTCCCAAGGTCATCCAGGCAGCTTTGGAGCCTTAGGGAGGACTAGCATATGACTGTCCCCATTCCTACTTCAGCAGCTGACTCTCTGAATAACCTATGAGCAAGATTTCTTTAAAAGAAAAGAAATTGAAAACACATGGCACAAGATAGTCCTCTTTCTGTTCTGTGGCTGCCCATTTCCTACTCCCCAGCATCCTCTAGTAAGGATGAGGTCTATGTGAGCAGAAAACAAATGGTTTCCTTCTTTCTCTGACCAATCCAGAGGTCCTCTGACTATTTGGACTGGCTTTCTGAAAGATCAGCAGGCTCTGCCTCCAGATTCTGTGATAATCATTTCTCAGAATAGCCAAACTTTCACAGGGTTATTATCTGAATAATATGCAAAGATATTCACATAGGTTTAGGGTTAGGGTCAGATATAAGTGCAATAAGTAAACTTAAAAAGTAAATCCAGCAGTGTTGTTACATAGAGGACTGAACCAAATGTTCTTTTCAAAAGGTATCAATCCACACCTGGTATATTAAATGCCTTTGGATGCTAGTGCAGGGCTTAACAAGATAACACTATCCACAACAATACTCATAGTCAAACACAAATACTTTTATAGTTTGTTCTAGTCAAAGTTACATAAAATGCAATGGGACTTTAAATAATGATGATGATGATGATGATGATGATGATTTAAGCTTTCATTCACTTCTCTATCATATGCATAAAGTGTCCTGGAAAGCTGATGAAATAAGTAATTGCTGTCCTCACTAAAATGTTCAGAATTGCTGTTTGAGATAGGCTTAATCTCACAAGGCCAGCTTAGTCCCACTGAATCAGTGTGTTTAAAAACTCTGATTTGTGCTGCTCTCAGGATGAATGAAAAGGACGCCAAGATATTAAACCTTTGCCTGTCAGAGATTTGTTGAGCCCCTCCTTCTCAAAGGAGAACTTCTCTGCTCCTAGGTTTCAACCACTGTAGAGATTTAGCAGCTTTAGAAACTTGTCTCCCTCTCACAAGCACTACTGGGGGTCGATTGACAGCTCTCCTAAAAACACGAAATGGCACATTTTGGCTTCTCTGTCT